AATAGCATAATTAGTGTAATTAGCGTATAGAGAAAAGTATATAAGTAATATGTTGGTAATGTAAGAAAAACAAGTCTCGTAGGTCTCACAGTATAGTCAATAATGAGATACTTACCCTTAGTACTCGCCCAAATCCCACGCCTCTTTTGAGTACTATTTCGTCCGACGTTACGCGAGAGACTCTCGTTTACCCTATGAATAGGGAATTTTAGAGTCTACAATTTCCGTAATATGACACTTCATTAACAATAATAAAAGACTAAAATTACGCATATTTTTTTCAAGTTTACTAATACTATCTTTACTGTCATTTAATAAATTTTTGTTAATTTCCATTTCTGAACGAATTTGTGTAAGTAGTGTATCAACAGAAAATCCATTCTTTTTCATTTTTTCTAATGTTTCTTTGTATGATGATAAATCTGAAAAATATCTATTGAATATAGTTTGATTTTTTTTAAACTAAGATAAGTTTGATAAAGATCAATTGTGTTATTAAGATTTTGAGTCATTGTTAAAGTTATGTATTTAAAAATCTAACTGGTTTATAAAAACTAGTTAGATGTTTATTAAAAAAAAAATAAATATATAATAATTAATCATCACTATCGTCCATTCGTAATCCTTCATCCTCAAAGACAAGAATACCATTAGTTAAAAATGCATTTTGTTTAGTAATATAATTTGGTATAATATTATTTAGTCTAATACAAATACATTTTTTTTCTTTACAATTTAAACATTTTTTATCAAGAACAACCAATCCATCATCTGAAATATATGATGATTTTGAAGAAACTGAACATGATTCAGAATGAATTGAATCGATATCAAAATCTTGTACATTGTATAATTTATTTTTACATTTAGTACAAAATTTTGTTTTTCGAAATGTATTACATTTCTCACAATATAAGATTTTAAATTTTTTTTGATATGAACGTTTAAAAATATATTTTTTTGGTTGTATATTTTTAATACATGAACTTCTTTATACTAATATTTGATTTCCATTTATAGTTATATATTCAGTTGAAAAATTGTATTCATCTTTGTACATGAAGCGAGAAAATTCTTGTAAATTATTTTTATAATGTATTTTTGAAATTATATCGATAAAATTCTATCAGGTTTTAAAAACTTGATAGATATATAAATTTAATAAAAAATATAGACCTGCGGGTCAATAGTGCAGTGGTTAGCACTCCCAGGTCGCATTCGCAAGGTTGCCAGTTCAATTCCAAC